TTTTTCCCCCAACTGCGCGGCCCGTATATATTTTCTTTAATAATTTCCTGTTATAAACAAATCAAGGATGTAATAACGCAGTTCAATGCGTAAATGCTGCTGTCTCCGCTCCCAGAAACTCCGGACTGCTGCTCGAAAAATAAATGCCACTGATTATGATCTTAAAAGCCATTTCAAACCCTAATGGCCGAGAAAAGTGAACTTTTCCAACGATGTGGAAACGTGGTGCGGAGCACATAGTAAATACACTAAGCTACACAGTGCAGTGAGAGAAAAAAGCATAGCCACAATTAATGAATACCTTTTTAGAGTAACTGCCTGCGCAGGCTCACCTTTTGAATTCGATTATTTGATGGGATATATATCTGTGTATTCAACAGGAAAACAACTTGATTTTTGTGTAATTGGCAATCAGTTTTAAATTTGATCAACAGGCATAAATAAATTAGCAGCACTTTCGCTGAAATCGGATGCTGGAAAAGTTAAAGAGTTAAACAGCAGAAATTGCTTACCATGAAAATAAGTGCTATCCATACTGCGTACAGCCTTGCAAACTAGCGAAATACTTTACTTTTTCCCCAAGTGCAGGCCAAGATACGCAGGCATGCCCAAACCCGCCCAGGGAAAGTATCTCAAGGACTAAGCCCATTAGCTCACTGCTGTTGAACCTTTTTTCGCAGCGAGTCCTGGCATTTCTTTGCTTTTGCATGAAAATGCTGCCCGAAAAAATGAAAAAAATGAAACGAGAAAATGTAAAATACTTTAGCCAACATAAAGGGCTACACTCGCACACATGCGCTGCGCATCTGGGATGGCAAATGTAAGTACAGAAACAACAAACAGTCTTCAGGCCGAGCAAGTCAAGTGTATGAAAAGTAACAAAGACCTAACGAGAATTACAGCCTCAGCATGCACATGTACATGGAATAATGAGAAAATATCAAAAGTGCCCCGGCTCACGCACACACTTTGCCTCTGGTGGACTGAAAATAGTGGTGGACTTGGACTTGGCACTTGGGCACTTGGGCACTGGGTACTCGGTCTTGTCCAGGCTCAATGTCAACTTAAAGCCTTGCAGCCCGACTGCCGACTGCCGCCGGCCACGGCATTGAGTTTGTTGGAGAAAGCAGCAGCCCTTATTAGGAAAACTGGGATTTTCCCTTGCCCCCCACGCCACTCTCTTAATTTGCTTTAAAGTGCCTGGCTGGGCGGAAAAAAATACTGACGCTAATGAGCTACTTAGGCAATGACTTAAGTCGTTATTGTGCTGCCGCATATCATCGCATTACACATCACATTACACACACGCACTGTTGGCCCCGTAATTTGAGCCCACTAATAATACCCCTGGCAAGCTCTGTGTTTTTGTCTTAACTACTCAAAACTTTCACTGGGATTTCCATGGCCCACAGCCGTGTGACTGAGGAAAGGGGAGAAGTAGAAATTTACTCTCGGGCCAAGAGCCGATTGAGCCCCACTTTGATCCTGGCCATTTGTTGCGCCATTGTGTGATGGCTGACTTTTGTGCATGTTCCGTAAAATGGTATATAATATTCGATTAATATTTCAATAAAGTGTTTGGCCCTTTACGGATTATAATCCATTGGTCCATTGTGCGACCCTTTTGCCACTGAGCAGCTGCACAAAGGACACAATGGCCGGCTCCATGGGACAGGCAGTGAATAATATAGTTCCTTGGAATTAGAATTTCTCGAGAAGCAGCGGCACCACTTCATTCAATAAGCGGTCTTTTGTGTGTTTATTTGTAGATTTGTTGGCCCTCCAGCTTGTTGAACTGGCTGTGTGAAATTGCAGCTATTACGTGGGCTGCGAACAATGCCAGTTGATTTTGTGCCCCGCCGCGGGCCACCGAATTATGCGTCCAAAAATAACAGTCCACCCACACGCACCCATATTGGAATCTACCTCATTAGGTTCGGCATTAATCAGGCAGCGCCAACTTTCATCGCCCCTGCCAGATGATGTCAATTAAATGTGCCAGCCCAAACGAGTTCCTTCTCCTTGGAGGCGAGAACAAAAAGGCCAAAAATAGGTGTAGTTCACTGCCGAGACAAGCTCGAGTGGCCCGAAATCAGCGTCGTCGCGCTTTAAAATGCCATTCTATTAATTAAATCGAGCAGGCAAGTGTCAAATCAGCGCCTGCACCACACACGCCCCCCGCCCAACACAACCCATTTTTTGTCCACCTCCCCAGCGGCTTGTATTGCGGTTCAATGTGCGACGACGACGGCGACGACGACGGCGGCGAACAACAATTTTGTACATGTCGACATGGTGTCATAATTAAAATGTTCACCAGGCCATGCCACTCCGGCCTCCCCGTGCGCTGCTCCTCCACCTGCTCCTCCCCATCCCCATCCCCATCCTCCTCCGCCGGCTGTTGGGCCGCCAAATTGGGCGTTTCACTTGCCAACCCCGGACAAGGCCAATGCCGACAGGCGAGAGACTTGCTTAATGATTGGACAGAGCCCGCTTGCTCGGCGAAAAATCAATTTCCACTGGTTATCCGCTGGTGCAGGAGGAAGTGGTCAGTCGTAAACGATTCTTAAGGAACATCAATCTTAATTGGTTCAAAATTACAACATACATTTGCAACATGCACACATGCTTATTTGGGAACATTTTTTTAATTAAATAAAATTATATCTAAACTAATCCATAATGTTTAAATGATCTATAAATATATTTATCTCAACGAATTTATATTATTATTTTATTAATTTATATTACATTGGCTAGTCATTTGCGACTGCTTGAGATTTAGTCTTCGATTTGGGCCAAAGTAAAACCGAAATTATAAATTGTCAATCTGCAAGATTACGTTTCTTCTTTGGTAATCATACTAAGTCAGCGGGGCTTAGTGGCTTTAACCGGTTGATGTAACATTTGTTGACTAAAGCTAATCTGAGTAAAAATGATTGAGAGTGCAGTCGATGGTTTTCAGAGTCGTACAGCAGGCAAAGTTATGTTCGCAAGTACAAAAGTTTTGCCATTATAAGTGGTCATTTTGTGCTGTTTAGACTGCTTAAAATTGGGCTAAAAACATGTTTGCTCACTCGCCGTCGCTGGAACTTTATCCGGGCCACTTAGGCTTGATTAATGTGCCAGCATTTGCCGGAATATGCGAAACTGGACGCTGGCCATCGTAAATAAATGCCTTCGCCCCGCTTTCCACCGCCTTTATTGTCTCAAGGTTAATTTGAATGGCAAACTTTGCGTAAGCGTAAGCAGTCCTCTATATTAGGATATTTTCGTTCTGCGCTCGCTTTCCACTCTATTATTATATTCTGCTACATTATTATGTCCTCTTTCTTTGCATTTTATTTACTGTCCAATGTGTGTGTGTGGCGGAGGGTAGAGGAAAATACGAAAAATTAATCAAGAATTCTGGAGACAGGCGAGATACAGATAGAAACGATATGGAGGGGAATGCCCTGGGACATTTGCATTTTCCATTTTGCTCCGCATTTATCATGATTGCAATAAATAATATTGTGGTTTAACTCACCACTGGCCACTTTTATTCACTGCACAGCTTTTCTGTGTAAAGTTTTTTAAGCGATTTAAATTGTTTGCCACTGTTGAGTTCCATTGCGCAAAATGGCCACTTTAAGCCGGAATTCCTAGGGGGCCAAAAGCGAATTGTGTGCCAATAGCAGCAGTCGAAGGGGGTCAGTCAGTCAGTCATTCATTCAGTCAGTCATTCAGTCAGTCGCTGTGATTGAGCGTTTCTCTCGTTAAATTCGGCGAGTGTGTGAGTGACTCCATCGATTGATTCCCCTTGTGAAGGACGTTTTCAATTTGTGGCAAAATTTAAAGAATTTTCCCGAAAAACGGGACAGCTACTGCTGTTTTGTCTTGCCATCGCCGAGGAATTTCCCTTGAATTTTCCAGCCAGTTTGTTACGCTTTTGCCCCCCAAAAACGCACACATGCACACTGGAAGGCTTCCATGCATGGACTCTGCTCCGCAGAAATTCAAATTCAGCAACTGGCGCACCCGCATGATAATGCGCATATTTTTATGCATTATAGCCTACTTTTTCGGGCGGGCTTAGAGCCGTTTGCGACTGTATTAGGCAGTCGGGGCCTCAAGCTGGCGGAATTAGACACACTCGGAATGTATCCACCGCTCATATGCATAAATATTTCTGCGTTTATTCCCTGCGTGACCCGAGAATCGAGGGATGTGGATGTGGATGTGGATGTGGGTTCTAGTGGTTTGGGAACCACCAGCCAAGGCTCCGCCGAATCATCTGACAATCGTGCCGACAACTCGAAAATTTGCATAGAAAGCGGCCGCAATTTTGCGCTTTGCATGTTGCTAGCCGAGCTTTTGCGAGCATTTTAGCCATTCACCGCTTTATTTTTCCAAATATGAGTACTCGGCAGCGATGGCATCTATTGACGTGCAAGAAGGGTCTACATTGGACTAGAATAGGTTGCTTAAAATAGCCACGGTAAATTATTAAGACATTACGGAAATTGTTTATGCATTTGCCCTATATTTATCCTAGATGCTAGTTTTGCAAGAAAATATAAACACCGTTTTATGCCATCACATCTTTTTATCACGTATAATTTCTTTTCTTTTTTTTCTTAATATTGCATACTTAAATCTCAGCATTTTCGTAATAAATTAAAGTGTTTCAAGTCTGTGCTGTTCAACTATGAATCTGTAGTGGCTTGCAAACAAATTGTTCCTGGCATTGAAGTAATTTGAAAAGATTTATGAGCCAAGCTGTTGAAGCTAGTTTGAAACCACTCGTTAAAAACCTATTTGACTGATAACAGAATTTTCTTAAAGTGAAATATCATCGGGAAAATAGCCAATTGGCCAACACACACGATGCTTTTCAATTCCACAACCCGTCTGAAATTTCATTGTTCGATTGTCGTTGGGGCAACGGCAATTGCCGTCAATTGGCGTCAATTTCGCATTGGATGTGGATTATTGCGCCACTTAGGAGCACCACTTACCTCGCACTTGGGCAGCGGTCCTTCGGGCATCTTCACCTTCCAGCCGAGGAGCGGCGGGATGCAGATGAGGGCGGACATAATCCAGACCGCCGTGATCATGACGGCGGCTCGCGCCGGCGTTCTGGACTTCAGATAGTCGACGGCCTTGGTGATGCTCCAGTAGCGGTCCAGCGAGATGAGGCACAGGTTCATGATCGAGGCGGTGCAGAGGAGGACGTCCATCGCGGAGTGGATGTCGCACCACCAGCTGCCGAATATCCAGTAGCCCATCAGCTCATTGGCCAGCGAGAATGGCATGATGATGAGGCCAAGAAAGAAGTCGGCCACCGCCAACGAGGCGATGAACCAGTTCTGTATGTTCTTCAGCGACTTCTCGGTGGCAATGGCTATGATCACCAGCATGTTGCCCACCACGATGATGATCATCAGGATGGTCACAATGATGGAGGCGATCACGATGTGCGTAAGCGTATAGCCGCTGGGATACCGTCCGTCCCAGTGGACTTCTGTGTGATTCGGATTGGTCAGATTGCCCGATGTCGCCCCGGAAGCACTGCTTTGGTTATAGAATCCAGCCGCCAGCTGCAGGCTGCTGTTGTAGAAGCTGCCATTCAGGAAGAATATCGTATCGTTGACATTGACATAGCCCGATCCCTGCGGCAGGGTCAGCTGACCATCGACGCTGAGCAGGGGCGGATTGAGGGTGGCATTGTCCGGCTTTCCGGTCGAGAAGACGGCCAGAAAGTCATCGGTGCTGATGTTGCCCGTATTGATGTTGGCATTCAGTCGGCTATAATCCATCGTGATCGTGATCGTGACCGTGATCGGCGCTCGTCCAACTAACTTTGTGGATGCGTGGCTAGCTCTAGAGTCTGATTGGTCCCATGCTGCCCGTGTTTATAATTAGTTCTTATTGCGCGCGAAATTCCAATCGATTAATCCTAATAATTTAACTATTCCTACAGCATTCGAATATTATTTCGCTTATTTATACCCGTTTTTGCACCGAAACTTGTGTGTGCTGCGCGTTCTGTGGCCAAAACGCGCGCGTTTTTTTACTTTTCTTACTTTGCTCTTTATATTTATTTATTCTTTGGTTGCTTTTGGTTTTTATTGTGGTTTAAACAATTAGAGTCTACAGTATATACAGTGGCGGATACACGGACACACATTTGACAGAGACGCGAGTAGAAAAGGCTGCTGGCTATTTACAGGAGGATGGCATTGTGGCTTGGCCGGAACACGATCCCATCGATCCGGCTCACATGGCGTATGCGTTACGCGTTCGCTGCTGGCCGACTCATTGGTCAGATATTCCGCACGCTGGCATTTAGTAAAATAATTGTGAATAACTTGTGCTTTCCGCTGAAACCGAAAAATAAATTGTGCGGATCTGTATCTCTTTCTCTGTGAGAAATGATGCGCTGATGTTTTTGTTCCGCTCGACTTTGAATTTGATTTCAAAGTTGATTGGTTTCTGATCTGATGTTTTCTGCTTATTTACACAAAAACGCGCGACCGCGGTTTTGGCCCTCAATCAGGCGTTGGCATATTTTGGCGCTGTCTTCGAGGAGAAACTGTTGCCGTTCCGGCTGAAATTGGTTGGCTCTTTGGCTGCTTTCGGCTACTTGGCCAATTGGCGCGCCCGGAACACGTTCGCACCGCTGGAACTGCACATCCTAACTGAACGCCATCCGCTGGCGGATTCAACGCCCAGTCGCCCAGCTTGCTACCAAAATCGCCGTCCACAACTGTAAGTGCTTCGGTCGTGTGCGGCAGCGTTCGTTCGTTTGTTGTCGTTTTCCACGGCGGGAAATTCTCTCCGATTTTCCGCTCTCTCTCTCTCTCTCTCTCTCTCTGCGATTTTCCGACGCTCTCTTGGATACAAATTGAGGGCGCCGTATCCCATTTGGTGTGTGCTTCATCTGAAATGCTCATCTTGAGTGCCTCGCACTTGCAGTGGTCGCCTTTGTTTACCAATTCCATTGGCAAGTGTTGCGGTGTCAACAGATTAAATTTCTAGCTACGCAAACAATACAACCAAATTACGCTTGAATAAATAGCGAAGACGGTAGATATGGACAAAAGGCAATTATAAAATGTGGAAAATTATTACTATCTTATACCTTGTTTGGCGGAGGTCAATATCATTAAATTGTTATCTATTTGTGGACACACCAAGCAGCACCGAAGTTGTAAATAAAATTAAAAACAAATCTATAATATTAAAGTCTACGGAAAATTAAGTAAAATATTATTTCAATATCATATTAACAATGTGAATGTTAAATTTAAATCAAATTTAAATATGGTAATTAAAAACGTTAAATTCAGCAAACATAATTATATTTAATTATTAATATTAATATCCAAATACGGTAATTACAGGGCGGACATCTTTCAATTCTAATTTTATTGATTACATGTTGATCAAAGTGCATCAAGTTGCTATATCAATTAAGCAACTAAATTTCAATATCGCATTCCTCTTGCTTTTCATCGCTACGTTCCACAAGTGCATATTCATCGGGAAATTCACCTCTGGCCCACTATCCGAATGTTCGGGGAAATTCTCTCTGACCATTCGGCGTTCCATTTTCCGAAATGTTCCCCAATGTGTTGCGTTCTGTTGTGCTTTGTTTGCCTCTGCCCCAGTGGCCTAAACCAAAAACCGAAACTTATTTTTGTGGCAGCACTTTTCACGTTTCGCCGTTTCCAGGGGGTGGAGTACGAATCTCGTTTTACTTCTAAGAACCAGCGTTTCGTGCATATGTTTGCCAAGGGTTGCTGCTGGCCAGATTCGCTGGCCATGTTTGCGCGATGCTACCTTTTGTTTACATTCTCGTTTTAACCCACATACGGGCCCCAGTTTCGTTGCTGGCCGGGCTTTGGCCCACCTTTAAACACTTCTCAGTGGGCTGGGGGCTGGTCCAATAAAGGCCTAATGAAGCCATCCACCTGCAAAAGGTGTGCGGGCAGTGAAAAGAAGGCGGCACAACAGACGCCGACATATCAGGCACATTATGCGCGATAGTCACGTCTGTTGGGCACATAATTGAAAAGCGAACTTGAGCGTATCAATCGGGCAGACAGGTTGTTACCGCTGCTCCCTCCAGCTCGCTGCTCAATGAAATCAACTAGAAATTATGATAATGAAAAAGCCGAGAGCTGGAAGTTGAAGTTGTTCACCTTCGTTGCTTGCCGTTCCTTTTATATCCTGCTGGCTGGCAGCGCCTTGTTCATCAAGTGTACACGGTGCGTATGAGTTATTTGATTATGTTAAGCATACGTCGTGGCGCTGCCGCGCATAATTTCAAATTACTCGCAGCACACATCGGCATTTCAGCGCCTCGGCATCAACATAATAAATCCGAATGGGCCGTTGCCTGACAAACAAGCCGAGACCGACTACCTATGGGGTAAATATATAAATATATGTATATACACCCACGCACTTTGTAGAGTGACAAATTCCGGAAACAACAAGCGACAGGCAGCAGGCACTCGTCTTCTATGCATCGCAAGAGATTGCTTGTCAAGCTCTGATTATGTTAACTGCCTATGAAGGTAAAGTCCCGGCGAAGGAGCCGGATTTTTCAACCTGAAATCGCAGACCATTTGACGCATCTTCTGGTATTTAGCATACATTGCCCCTTCGCGCCCCCTTTGCAATTAGGACAAACATATTTTGAACACTTTATTAAATAAACGTTTCTTTCTTCATGCGGGACGGTAATTTAGTTTCCTTTTGCCAATTCAAATTTGCAAGAGATCTGCTTCGAATTAGGCGTTAAAAATGCAGTTCTTAGAAGTGCGGTGAGCTTACGTTCAGCAGTTCCGATTTTTCCGTGTGAGAAAGTAGCATAATACAGCCTTCGACAAAAACTAGCAACATCCACCTCTCCAGAAACCGGGTCCACTTGCCCCACACCACGAGTTAAACGGTCCGTTGTAGGGTCCAAAGCACGGGTCGTAGAATCCACTGGGTCCACTGCCTCCGCAGGGGCACAAGGCGGCGCAAGGATAGCAAGGATAGCTGCACATGGTGTATAGATCTGATTTGTCCTGCAACAATGGGGAATAAGCCGTAGTAAAGGTGTACGTTCAAATTACGTTACTGGTTTTGCACGAAAAAATTGAAAATTTTGTTTGGAAATTTTCGTTCCGTTACCGTCCGAAGAGTTCGAATTTCAATGTTCAACTGAGCTCGATACGGTGAACGAACGGGCACCAAAAATTTTTTGGCTGGAGTCAAATTTCAAGGCACACTTATAGCTGGTAGGATGGTCAGGTGGAATGCAAATTCTTTATAAGTAGTAGGCTTCGATTGATTGATAAAAATAGTATTTTATTAATATTATATATTATTATATATATTATTTTTATCAGTTGCTAGACGTTAATGGGCAATTAAACCGCTTTTATGAATCTGAGCTCAATAAAGAAAAGATAGGCTTAAAAATATGGCCATAGTCATTTATCATTGCCATTTGTACAAGATTCATTTATGCAACGAATGGGCTTAAATGATCCAGCACAGTCATGATTTTGTGACGTTCTTAAGCTTGTTAGCATCAACGCATCACCGAAACCAGAGGTGTCAAATTAGTGTCTTGATAAATAAAAACAATCTTAATACATAAGTCTAGAACAGTGTGTTACCGAGATACAACTCTCATACGTATGATTGTAATACTTACTTTCCGTACTTTTCGACTTGCAGTGCAAGTGCACTTTTAGTGCAGCGCATCCACAGATAAGCCAGAGAAATCCGAGTGTGCATACATTAAATGCATGCACATATTTCTGAGCTCCAACTGCACTCGCTGTGGCTGCAATTTCTCCGCATTTTGCACTCCGCCGAGTGCAGAGCTCCTAATGGAAGGCGACGGTCGTCCAGGACGCAGAACTGAATGGAACTGCATTGAGTGTTTGTCGTGGCACTCGCCGTGGCGCGTTCTTTGTTGTAACTGAGCTAAATCTACTTTTAATTCGGCGCACGTTTTCCATAATGAAATCGGATTTGTGGGCCGTGGCCAAATCCGGTGGCGAAAAGCGGAGGGACAGGGGTGCTGGCCATAAATTGAGCACTCAGCAGCTCGCTGCGCTTTGTCACGGTTGCCAAAACGCCCCGAATACTGTGCAAAGAAAGGTCCCCAAAATGTTGTGGCAGAACGGCTGGATAATGCCGCATTTTGAGGAATGCTCGAATGCAGCGCACACTAATGGCAGCAAATATATCATGGCCGCTATCATTCGCATTAGCTGGCTGAAATGTAGCTAAAATACTTTCACATGCACGCAGTGGCAGTGAAAAAAGCGCCCTAGAAATGGTAAATGGCAGCAGCCGGGCAGGAAATTGCGCTACTCATACGCACCGTGGTCCCGTGTCGTCCGCTGCATTATCTTAATTTAAAAACTCGCTACAGAACGCTCTGAAAGTCTGCTCTCGTTAGCCGTGTTTTAGTTTCATTAGCTCGGCTGAAAAGCCATTTATCAAGCTGTCAGCGCCAATTATTTATATCCCACTCGGCGGCGCCCACAACTCACAGAGAAATATTATAGAAATATTATCATGGCTGGGCGGATATAAAGTAAATGCGTCGGATCAATCCGCATTTCGTGTTAAATGGCATGGCAATCGCTTGGCGTTAAATTATATTAATTGCCAACCTTTTCAGCTTCGCAGCTCTCGTGCTTATCGTCAAACAATTTAAAGTTTTAATCTCTTGACGCATTTAACCGAATGGCCCGGGGCTTTCCGAGAGGCATTAGCCTGGTAATTAACCAGCAGCCCGAATTGGGCAACATGTGCCGGCAATGCCCAGAACCGCCTGATCCCACACAGCACGGTATGTTATATACGCTCAAGTTGGTCCGACATTCATGAAATTCGAGCACTACGGACTACATGGGCCGACAGGAAGTGCATACTTGGCAGGCAAATCGTCTGGCAGGAGCAGTAAATCCATCTTTCGCTTCCGAGAGTGGGGCCAAAGTTTCGAGGCCAAGTTGTCATAAAATTTATGCGTCTAATTACTTGCACTTTTTGTGCTCAGCCCTGCCCCAACTGCCAACTTTCCACTTGATGGACCCATCGGCGACGTCATTTATTATTTTTATGTGAACAGCGAACGTTTTATTGACACGACGGGCGATTGGCTTCTTCCATTGGGTATAAGTCAATAAGACGGCGACAAGTGAAAAGACTTGGCAAAAAACAGGGGGCTGTCATTAATCTTTCGTTTCGGCCAAGTTGTGCAGCTAATTGCGCCATTTTCAGAGGTCTAGCCTCCGCAGTCAGGGTCGTTTTACTGCTAACCAACCTCCTGTTTCCCATTTCCCGTTTTCCCATTTTCCCATTGCTGTCTCAATTTTCCCCCAGTCCCCAACCCCCATCCCCCTCCCCGCTGACTGGTATTCATATTTCCATGGCCAGTGACCCAGTCCTCCTGGTCAACTGAGTTTTCACAAAGGGGACCTTGTGACTTTAATGCCCTGAATGTTCGTCTAAATTTTGTGCGAGCCGGTATGAAATAAGCAAAGCGCGGAAAGGAGAAAGTAAAATACTGCTGCTACTGCGGTGGCCCAGGTAAAATAATCGGGATTATTTATGTGGCTCGGCAGAAATTTGCTTACATATTACACTTTTTCAACATTCTTTTAATTAGCTGCGCCTACAACAAAACGAAACTTGCAAACAAAGCGCCGCAGCACAAATGCTGGGCATAAGCTGGCCGAGGTGGGTGGTTTCCTACCCTTTCCTTCCCTTTGGGTGGGCGGTGGGTGGTGGTTGGCGTTTGGTGGGTGGTGGGTGGTGGGTGGTGGTTTGGTGGTGCCGAGAGGGCGGTGGCTGGCCCTTTTGTTCGCACATCGCGACGCAAGCCATGGAAAGGCTTGGACCTGCGAATAGAGCAGCAGACGGACTCTCTGGAGGATCTGGCAGCTGGCAGGACCTGGGAGGTGGACTCCACAGTGCAGTCAAAAATACAAGGATTGCATTTGAAAGTTATAAGCACACGACGAGTTTAATAATTAACATTAAGGTAGAATTTTCAAAGGCTTTAATCTTACAGAAGCTACAAAATAAGCTGTACCATCCATTTCAAGAGCATTTTTTGTGCATATGTTCAAATCAGTTAGAATTAAAATAGACTTTACTGCCTCCTAAACTTAGTTCATTAGTTGTATCTCTTTTAATTGTAGTATTATTATTATTATGCCTAGCTAATTTTTGTTAGTACTTCCAAACATTTTCAACAGTTTCTTGGGCTACAATTGCCAGCAATTCAAGTAGCACTCATTTGTCTAAGTGTAAATTGCGCATTTCTTCGCCCTTTTCATAGAACTTCCTTTTTTCCGCTGCTTCTGCTCAGCAGTTTCGCTTTTTGCGCGCTTGTTTAATGTGAAATTTTTGGAAGCATGCACAAAAATTTGCTACACAAAGCGCCCGCGGCGGCGAAGGAAATACAAAACCCCATGACTTAATTAGAATTTTGTGTAGCTACTAATGTTGCTGGCACGGTTAGGCGCATTTCGCCCCCGGCTGCCTTCAATCCCTCAACCCTTCAATCCCTCAATGCTCACAACGCCCTTTGACGTTGCGCTGACACATGAAATGCATTTGTATCGGCCTGCGAGTCCTTTTCGTCCTGCCCACCGCATTGCAGAAATTTTTGCAAAGTTTCCTGATTACTTTTTATTTAATTCAATTGCGTAAGCATGCAAATAGTATAATCAATGTACTTATGGGATTTTAGGGAGTCGCGTTTATGGAGGGACACGACATATTATAATTAATCAGTGATACAGATCAATAAACATATATATCTTAAACAAGAAACTTATACCTTTAAAATTTTCTTGTACTTCTTTATTTAAACAAGTTTTAAAATATTATTATCTGAGTTAAATTGAAGAGAATATTAAAAAGTCCAATAAAATCTATGTAAAGTAAAATATGAATAAGAAGTTTTAAACTCACAATTTCCTATCTTTTAGTCCATTTTCATTTATTTTCATAGACCTAAATTATTCCATATTTTAAGCGGGTATATTTCATTATACCATTTACTCGTAGAGTAAAGGGGTATACTAGATTCGTTGAAAAGTATGTAACAGTCAGGAGAAAGCGTTTCCGAACATATAAAGTATATATGTTTTTGAGCAGGATCAATAGCCGAGTCGAACTGGACACATCCGTCCGTCTGTCCGTATAAACGGCTCGATCTCAGGAACTAAAAAAGATATTTTTAGTTGATATTAAGCATGCAACTTCAGAGACATAGACGCAGCGCAAGTTTGTTTCCAAATTTTGCCACGCCCACTCTAACGCCAACAAACCGCACAAAACTCTCACGCCCAACTTAAAAAAATACCCAATTTCTACCGATATTCTAGAAAATGTTGCAATTTCCCATTTGCACTTCCACTAGCTGAGTAGCTGAGTAATCTGATAGTCGGGGAACTCGACTATATCATTCTATCTTGTTTTTAAGTTAATAGTGAAGCAATATTTTAAATTAGAATGCGTGTTTTACATTTTGTTAAACATTGAAAGGGAAATGGTTATGCTTTACTTCTGAAGAATATTTATAATGCTTCTTGTAACCACAAATATTTCCTATTTGTTGCCAAAAGTTCGTAATCAATTCCGTGTCGACATATGCTGCTGCCCAACTGGGCACAAAGAGCTGTCTTTGGCATTTTTTTTTTGGGAGGGGGTTTTGTTTGGGAGCACAGACAAACTGAAACTAATTTCGAATCCATTTACATAAACTGACATCTGTGAGAGTTTTGCACGACCATCCGCTGGCCGAGTGCAGTTTTCAAGGCCGCCCAGTCAAATATTTAAATATTTGAATTCTGTTCTTTTTTGAAACTCTTGCATAACAATCGGGGCAAAACTATTGCATGGGAAATGGAAATGGGCATGCGAGTGCATTGTAAAACATGCAGAATTACAAGCGGCAACATTAAATGCAACATGTGCAGCTGTCACCTCTCTGAGGGGGCGCAAAGTGGGCATGGCCGCAGGTCGGTAAAACCAGTGTAAAGAGCCAACGCCATCACCATCGCTACTGCCATTAGACACGGTCATAAACCAGGCCAGAGATTAGTGGGTTGCATCATCGTCATCGCCGGCAATTGATTTTCAATCAGCGCTGACCTTGATGCCGAGTTGCGATGGCAAACCTGGGATTGGGATTGGGATTGGGAT